TAGATGATGCGGCGTGGCCTCGGAGTCCGTGCGCAGCCACAGGGGGGCCCGTCCTCTGCACGCACGCACCGCTCAGCACAAAGCGAGTGCTCCCAGGAGGGACAGCAACAGAAGCGTCGGTGCACGCAGCCACGTGGCGCTCAGACTGCTGCTGCTGTCGTCCTTGCCGCTGCTGCTGCTTCCGTCCCTGCCGCTGCTGCTGCTGCTGCCGTCGCTGTTACTGTCATTGTTGCCGCTGCTGCTACTGCTGTCATCCTTGCCGCTGCTGGTGATGCTGCCGTCCTTGCCGTTGCTGCTGATACTGATGCCCTCCTTGCTGTTGCTACTGCTGCTGCTTTCGGCTTTGCCGTTGCTGTTACTGTCATCCTTGCCGCTGGTGCTGCTGCCGTTATTGCCATTGCTGCTGATACTGCTGTCGTCCTTCCCGCTGCTGTTGTCGTCGCTGTTCGGAGACGCGGGGGCGTTGGTCGTGCTCCCTGCAGGGCCAGCGGGTGGGGAACCGGTGGAGGTGGGGCTGCTGGTCTCCGTCCCGGGTGAAGGGCCAGGAGCAGCGGTCGTGGTAGTGGTGGTTAAGACCGGCAGCTCGCCATTTGCGGGGTCCTGACGCCACTCCTCTTCAGCCTGGGCCAGCGCAGTCTCCGCCGCACCTTTGGCCGCGTTGGCCTGCTCACGCGCCCGCATCGCAGATGCTCGAAAAGTATCCAGGAGGGCCGCAACGGTGCCGATGTCCCCACCCAATTTCTCAGATTTCTCAAGTGCAATGCCGATATTAACGTACACTTCTTGAGACCTTTCCCTGGCGGCGCTGGCAGTGTCCGCTGCTCGTTTGGCGGAAGTCTCCGCCCTTTGTCGGTCCGGTTCCGCCCTTGCGGCGTTAGACACCACCTTCTGTGCGTATTCCTTTGCAGCCAAGACATCTCGGGACGTATCCGTCGCGCTCTGCATCACAACCCCCGAGTGTTCCACCGCAAGTTGAATACTTTTCTCCAGCGCATCGACGTCCGTATTCAAGATCGCAACCATATCAACTGCTCGCCGTGCATTCTTAACCGCAGCAGCCACGGCCAACATTGCCTTCTGTTCGGTGTCAGAGTTCGTCTCCATCGCATTGACTTTCTGACCTGCTTCCGCCGTCTTGGCCTGGGCATCCGCGGCCTTCTTGGTTGCTTCGTCAGCAAGCGGAGTCGCCTCGTTGACCCTCTGGAGTGCATCACGAGCGAAGCGAATCGCCTCAGTAGCTTCCGCACCGATTCTCTGCGCGAGCGCCTTTGCTGCCTCGGCACTCGCAGCCGCGGAATCACACAGTGTCACCACACCAGAAAAGTATTGAGAGCCCCCTGGCACTTGCATGCGTATTTCGGCGTCGCCGGCATGGACCAGAGCCCGTTCAGTTTTTTCCTTCAAGTCCTTAGCACTGACGTGCGATGCGTTGAGTTTCCCATAGGCCTTCTTTACCAACTGACTCGCCCCCGTGGCCTTTTCGAACGCATCCGTGGCGTAACCCGCGGCATCACTGGCGTCCCTCAAAGCAGCTTCCGCA